GTTGTTAGGTAGGATGTAACACATATATTATGTGCTCAAAGTTCAAGTTTGGATTGTCTAACTACTGTAATTATCGCTTGTGGCTCGTTACTCTGCCGGCTTCTCTGTTGCTGAGCAACAACTGTCCACGGAGCTATCACGTGATCGAGGGGGGGTTATCTCACCTCGCCTGAAGTATTCAGTCTGGTCTAGACTCTCTTGGTGGTTGGACGTATTCTTGACAAGGCGTGCCTAACCCTTCCTTATTGGCCCTTGTTGGAAGATCGTCTCTTGTCTCATTATTGTTGTTAGTTCTGGAGACTCTGTTCACAGAACATTGTATAGACTTAGTGATTTTCGACGTTGTACTGAGGTTGTGTGTCGTGTAGACACTCTGAGCAACTCAGGTCCTGAGCTGTAGCTTCTGACCTAACTTGTACTGGTATCTGTGTACTGTCACAGTCGGTGATTTTCTTATGCTGAACTTAGATTCAGTAGTATGGGAGTTTTGTGACTTTTGTGGAGGATCTGCTGATGGTCCCTACTTAGTGTCGTTATATTATCTCCTTGATCCTGATTGTGTCACAGTTGCTTGTTATATTGCTATTGGGCTTAGCATTCTTTTTATTGTTCAAGCAGACTGTTCTGACTGCCAGTTGGTCAAGAAGTTAGTTTATTTGAGGACTTAGTCAGTCACTTGTTTAAGTCTAGTCGAGTCTTGAGACATAGTGAACTACTTAGAGCACTTACACACATACACATAATTATTTGTATATTGTATTATTAAATGTTAATGTACCAGACGGTACTTAAGAATTATAAATGTGATATGTGCTTTCAGCACAATAATACTGTACACGAGAGAAGTGATTAATATTATTTTGATTATTGTGATTAATTTAATTTAATTTGATATACGCCTAGACAACTTAATGATTAATAAATTTATTATATTTTAATTTCTCTAGTTAGTAGCCTACCAGTTGTAATCCTGAAGCACTATTGAATCATACTGAATTCTAATGGATAATTGGACAAGGATACTGACTAATTGTTACGAAAACCCAGTAACAGGCTGGATGCTAGAAGGGCAGTCCTTTCTAGTATTCACTGGAGATCTCTAAGCTTTTAGAATCGCGTTTTTTTGTAACAGGGACCGTCCCACGGGGCCCAGGATAACGGGTCTGGGACCGTCCCACGGGGCCCAGGACAACGGGTCTGGGACCGTCCCACGGGGCCCAGGACAACGGGTCTGGGACCGTCCCACGGGGCCCACGGCCACGGGTCTGGGACCGTCCCACGGGGCCCAGGACAACGGGTCTGGGACCATCTCACGGGGCCCACGACCACGGGTCTGGGACCGTCCCACGGGGCCCAGGACAACGGGTCTGGGACCGTCCCACGGGGCCCACGACCAAGGGTCTGGGACCGTCCCACGGGGCCCACGACCACGGGTCTGGGACCGTCCCACGGGGCCCAGGACCACTGGAGCCCACTTCAGGTAGGTTAAGAATAAACTGTGGTCGTAGAGGAATAAAATAACACGAACACCACATAACACACGAACACCATCATAATCATTAAACCACACACACACACACACACACACACACACACACACACACACACACACACACACACACACACACACACACACACACACGCACGCACGCACACACACACAATCACACACACACACACACACACACACGAACGGAACAGAATTTATTTTTCGTAACGAGCATTATTCATGTTGTTCAAGAGAAAGATTCGATCTGGATGAAGTTGAACCTCTGGATGAAGCTGAACCTCCAGGTAGACCACAAGACGGGCAGAAAGCATCAACTTCACTCTGGCTGTACCCTTCTCCAGAACTTCACTCCATCTGAGATCCTATATACCCAGGATGACTCGAGTATGGAACACATTCGTACAGCATAATGATGTCAACGAGATAAAGTCAGTTGATCAAATGAAAATGCTGGCCCACAGATGGCTCCAACTTCATCCTGTTCCCTACTTGTATGTCTCATAACAATAAAAATGCTTTCAAATGAGCTGATGTAGGTAACAGCTCTTAGCTTGCCAATAAAGTTAGGAATCCTTAACCTGTAAATAGCTTGTCAATAAAACCAGGGATCCTTAACCTAATGTTGTCAAACCCTGTGTAAGAGAGAGAGTGAGAGAGAGAGAGAGAGAGAGAGAGAGAGAGAGAGAGAGAGAGAGAGAGAGAGAGAGAGAGAGAGAGAGAGAGAGAGAGAGAGAGAGAGAGAGAGAGAATTCTGCCGCCTTCTTTCAACTTTTCTATTTTTGCTTTTGTAATGAGAGAGCGAGTGAGAGCACAGGAAAAAAAAAAACTCTGAGTTGATATATTTTTATCAACATTTTAAATATTTTCATGTGAATGATGAGACAAATGACAATATTACCTGCAGAGAACTAACAACTTTCTCACTCGTCCCACATGTGTCTTATTCATTAACTTAAGATAAATATGTCATGAATCAACTTACGATACCAAAGTCTTGCACATGTGTCTTATTCACCAACTTTCCGGTATTACATACATAACACAATACAATTCCCTCTGTCAAGCTTTGACACAAGTTGCCTCCACGCAATCACAGCAAGAAAACAAAACAAGTCGTGTCAACACCCACCTGACGACCCAACAACACTCTGCAACACCAGCTTAGGTTATCAGGGTTTTTAGTAACACTGGTTAGCGATATTTACGGCCGTGTTAATGTTATTAAAAACACCTGAAATGTGCCTTCCAATCCGTACAACTAAATTTTTTGGAGTTAATCCAGAAGAACGTCAACAAGACATGTCAGATGTATTAATGCTTTCTTATGCTAGGTAAGATTCGTCAGGAATCAAGGCAAGTGTTTCCTGACGCGAGTCTTAGTCATATGATGACCCACACGTGGAGCATTTGGTCAGGTGTTTCATCCAGTTAAATGCAGTATTAAAATATTTGCTAACGGAAAGGGTATACCTGGAGTATACCTGGAGAGAATTTATTGGGTCAACGCACCCGCGGCGCGGTCTGAGACCACGGTAGATAAAGTTTTATTATTCATTAGATAATAAAGTTTTGACCACTGTTTTTATTCCTTGGATAAGGTTCAGCTAACTTACATTTCTGACCAGGAAAAGGTTCCTTGAATTAAAGAAAAATGGAACCCGGTGTTCAGTTTGATGAACGGATGAACTGAAAATATGTTCACAGCTTTTCACCTTCCAGTGAACAAATATTAAATGAACATTAAAACATTTTAACTACGTGACTTATTACAATTGTAACTGTAATACTGACTACATGAATATATATATATATATATATATATATATATATACTTGCATTTAGGTCACACTACACATACATGTACAAGCATATATATACACACACACCCCTCTGGGTTTTCTTCTATTTTCTTTCTAGTTCTTGTTCTTGTTTATTTCCTATTACCTCCGTGGGGAAGTGGAACAGAATTCTTCCTCCGTAAACCATGCGTGTTGTAAGAGACGACTAAAATGCCGCGAGCAAGGGGCTAGTAACCCCTTCTCCTGTATATATTACTAAATTTAAAAAGAGAAACTTTAGTTTTTTCTTTTGGGCCACCCTGCCTTGGTGGGATACGGCTGGTATGTTGAAAGAAAGAAAGATTATATATATATATATATATATATATATATATATATATATATATATATATATATATATATATATATATGTATATATAAACAGCTGCGTGACTCATTTGTCAGTGATGCTGTGACATGAGTCCACTGCCTGAGTGATGCTGTGACATGAGTCCACTGCCTGAGTGATGCTGTGACATGAGTCCACTGCCTGAGTGATGCTGTGACATGAGTCCACTGCCTGAGTGATGCTGTGACATGAGTCCACTGCCTGAGTGATGCTGTGACATGAGTCCACTGCCTGAGTGATGCTGTGACATGAGTCCACTGCCTGAGTGATGCTGTGACATGAGTCCACTGCCTGAGTGATGCTGTGACATGAGTCCACTGTCTGACGGGTGCCGCGGAGGTCATTTGCTAAATTAACAGAGTATTACCGGTTATTAGCGAGCACTTTTCGAGGCCAGAACGTCCCCGGGGTAATATTTCCCAGAGAAACTTATGGATATTACTAACCCATGATGTATTTTGTATTGTGTGGGGAGGCTATTTGCAGATTGTATTGGGAGGGGAATGTGTGATTCGGTGGAGGAGAGTTGTATGAGGAGGGGAAGAGATGTATGAGGAGGGGAAGAGATGTATGAGGAGGGGAAGAGCTGTATGAGACTGAGGAAGAGTTGCGGATTACGCATTGATGGGGGGGGAGAATCAATGCGTGAGGGGAATAATGAATATAATTATATATATATATATATATATATATATATATATATATATATATATATATATATATATATATATATATATATATATTCATTATTCCCCTCACGCCAAGAAACGACAACTTTATAAGTTCGTGAGAATTTACCTAAAGTTAGTGAAAATTTACCTAATGTTCGTTAGAACTTACCTAAAGTTTTTGAGAACTTACCTAAAGTTTTTGAGAACTTACCTAAAGTTCGTGAGACACCTCGAGGCTTACACAGTACATTGTGAAATCTTTGGACAAATGGAAGGATACGTGATAAAGTGAAGGAAGACACACATTTTTGCAACAGTGAATTTACATGAATTTATAAGATGAGACCTATTGACCTACCTCACCTGATGCCCAAGCAATCAAGAGCACTCGACTAACACCCAGGTACCTATTTACTGCCAGTCTTGAATAAGCTCACCTATGATCCACTAAGACTTTGTTATAACAAAAGTAATCAAGGTAATTAAGCCTGCCAGCTCAGACTGACAGATTCTATTACCTGACGTGATGGAGCATGATAATGGAAACATAGTTAAGGTTCCTAGCAACACACTGCAACAGAAAAACAAAACAAAGCAATATGAAAAGCAAGATGAGTGTTGTGCGGACGTACGTGTAACAGCTGCAGAAGTCAGCAACCGCTGAGGTGACAGCAACAGCAGTAACAGTAGCAACAGCAAAGGCAAAATTCTTCCCATCCTCTTCTCACCTGAAGGAAATCACAGGAGTTATCAACATCACTCTGTTGCTTTTGTTGTCGCCAGTGTTATTAGTAGAGGCCCTTAAGGACTAGTTATTTTTGGGGAAGGAATTGCTGCTATCATCTGTAATGTCTGTATTACTGCTATTGCTATTGCAATTCTTGTAATTTGTAGCTACTGTTATTATGAAATTGAATTTGCAAATACATAAAACACATACACATTAACAGGTACACAAGTATATCATAATTAAAATGGTTTTACTGTCCCCTCCCTTCCTCCCTTCCTCTCTCCTCTCTCTCTCTCTCTCTCTCTCTCTCTCTCTCTCTCTCTCTCTCTCTCGGAAAATAATGAACTGACAATACTTACACGCACACATACATTTGTATTAATCAGTTTATTTCAGAGCTTTGAAAAAATTATTATAATTATTACATTCGGGGAAAAGCGCTTAACCTGTGGGTAACATACAGGTCCCAAGGAGGAGCAAAGAGTAGTGGCAAGCTACATGGAGGACACATATGTGTTAATAAAGGATACATGAAAGATAGCAAATCTGGAAACATATTAGGTGGTAGAACAGGGAAGAATAGGGTCAGAACACCTGTAATTAATATGGTAAACTGAACACTAAAGGGGGGTCACACACACACACACACACACACACACACACACACACACACACACACACACACACACACACCACACACACACACACACTAGAACTTCAGTGTGTGTTCGAATTATTCACGCCTGCAGATTACAAGGATTATTTCTGAAAATTTTACGTAATATTAACATGGATTAACCGATTTCTCTTGAATGTGGATTCGTGAAATTGCGAAATACTGGAATTTTATCCATCTCCGAGGATTAGCAGTGATTTATCCGTCTCAGTGGAATAACAGCCTTACCTGATTATGTGGTTACAGCGAGAGGCGATTAATATGCATATGTAATTTTGCTTTGCATTTGCAACAGAGGTTCAGCATTAATAATTTCGTTAGTAGTGACGAGTAATGTAGTTGCTTATTGCAGTGAGATTTCACTGGTGTCTCTTCCTCGGCAGTGACCAGAGGTGAGGAAGACACAGGTGCTGCACAAGCTTGTGTTCTGACAACGTTTCGTTCTGTATAGAACGAAACGTTGTCGAAGTTAAAGCTTGCTCCGCACCTATGTCTTTCATCTTTGGGGCCTTTGTATCCAGTGACCTAAGGTGCAGGGGAGGTATTGTATAAGCCGTTCAAGAAGTGACTTTTGGATGTAAGATGAGAGAGAGAGAGAGAGAGAGAGAGAGAGAGAGAGAGAGAGAGAGAGAGAGAGAGAGAGAGAGAGAGAGAGACAGCCAGACAGAGAGAGAGACAGAGAGAGAGAGAGAGAGAGAGACAGAGAAACACAGTCTGAACTTTGCCAAATGGAATTAAAAATAACAGGGGGTGTGGAATTGGAAAAGGTTTGTATTCCGCTGATGTAAATTTTGTGTCCCTCTCAAGTGTCTCGCTCGGTCTGTGGGGCTGGAGGCCGACGAGGCCATAAAAATCTTTGCCGGAATTTCTGAAATCCATGTGGGCAATTTTCGAAATATTTCCTAATGTTTGGTTAATATATATATAATTTTCCTTTGGCTAAAATTTCTTCCTAAATGACCTTAAATTTGGCTGAAGTTTTTTTGTAAGTGACCTTTGGATAGGCTGAAGGTCCCTTCACACACCTTAACACTGATGTTTACCTCGAGATCTTTAATTAACGGAATATTTAGTCGTCTGCACAGCAGGCTTCAGCAGTCGAATACGAAGGTCACCACCTCTCTATTCGACTGCTGAGGCAGACGTGACCTTCTCGCCAATAAAGGTACCTAAGTATTGCTATTTTGTAAATATCCATAGAATTATTTGGTTGATCTCAGTAAATTTTCGTATTAAAATAGAAATTAAGAAAAAAATCCTCGAAAATCCGAATGAGGAACGAATTTCGTTCTAAAGCAGATTTTCCTGTTTATTAGGTGTAACATAACTCGAGAATGCCTCTTCCGATCGGCTTCAAATTTTCAATGCTCGTGGCTCAAGAGATTGTAATGGCACGATTGCAAACGAACCATTTCACGAACGGGGCTTGAACCCGCGGTAGAGTCGTAAAATTCCAGACCGACGCGTTAGCCACTGGACCAGCTGGCTACAATAAGATACTATGTATATTTTTACACCATAGGAAAGTTAGCATAGGCACCACTGTGACCACAAATGCAACTTTTTACAGACGAATATCCCGCCAGCGTGGGAATCGTGTCATTACGATTTCTTGAGTCGTGATGAGGGTTTTTAGGGGACTCGAGCTAGAATTCGTGACGGCCACGCTGTCAGGGAGATTCGTCTGTAAAGACTTACATTTGTGGTGACAGTGGTGGCCTATGTTAACCTTCCTCTGGTGTATAAATATACCTAGTCGGATAAATCTTATTGTAGCCAGGTGACCCAGGGGCTAACGCGTCTGTTTGGAATTTTATGACTCATTCACCGCGGGTTTAATCCCTACCCGTGCCGTGGTTTCAATGCTCGTGTACGGTAACTGGGACCACATTCTTAGAACTGACATGCGTACGTGCCCTATGAGCAAAGTTCTTGAACCCATTTCTAACGTCCTGGAATGGCATCCATGCAACATCCGGAGAGAAAGGAGGGGGGGGAGGAATGGGGGGAGGTAGCATGTGGGAGCTCCTCCCCCCTAACCACGCAATATAGAATACAACAATTCCTTCTGCCTTTAGTTTGCTCGGCAGAAATCACGGCGGCACTCGTCCAGATGTTTCCCCGTCTCAGTCCCGGTTTTATATGCGTGTGCTACGTTTTTACTGCCGCGTTTCCTCCCTACGGTATGTTTGCTTCCATCTTTTAGCTCTCATACTGAGGCGAGTCACGACTTTGTGTTTTTATTTTCCGTCGTCCAAGTCTTTCACTGACACATCATTCAACATCTCTATTATACATGATAATTTTCTGTTATAGAAGATCTTCACATATAATTGAAAATAAACTTACGTAAGATAATTATATCTCTAACTGAAGATAATTATCTGTAATTTGAGATGATTATCTAAAATAGAACATGATTATATGTAACGATACATTATCTTCAAGAGAATATAATTATCATTAATAGAAAATAATTATATTTAAAAATGATTAATTTTTAATCGGTAAACCTTTTTCTCTTCAAAACGATAAAAAAAATCTCTAATTGAAGATAATTTTCCCCTTTAATAGACCCTTATCTCAAACTTAAAAAAAAATTACTTTTTGGGAAAAAGCGAAAAAATTTTTTTACTACTTTCTGGGAATAACTAACAAGCAACAATAACTAAACAATTTAAAATTTCCTTTTTTTAAATTTAAAAAATTTTTTATATTATTTTTTCCCGTTGAAAAAAATATATTAAGAGAGCATGACAGAAATTTAAGGGGGCAAGTAGGTAAGGAAAAAAAGTAAGAAAACCCAAAAAATTAGGTCCTTAGGGATTCATTTCATGTAGGTCTCCCGGAGGGGCCTGGGCCCCGGGGCCCTTTTCCAAATTGGGGACCCGGGAGTGGCTCCCGAAGGAGAGTCCCCAGTTTGTGGGACAAGGGGATTTCCGTTTTTTTAACCATGTGGTTGGTTTGGGAGTCCCCAAAGACCCAAAGGTACTGTGGAAAACTCCCCTTTAGGAAAACTGGATTTCCCTTTAAAAGCCCTAGGAAAGGGGCAACCCATGACAAGGGACGGGACTCAACTCCATCAGGTTGTTTAAAAACCTGATGTCTGAGAGAAGTGTGACTTAGCAAGTAAGTTTGTAAGTTGACTAGGGGTCTCCTTTCCCTCAGGTGGGGGTCAGCCATGGGGAAAAATTTTCTTTCCCCCCGTAATAAAAACTCCCGCAATAACAGTTTTTTTTTAGGGGAGACCATTAGGGAAAAGTTTTATTTTTTACGTTTCATGGAGTCTCCTGATGACGATGCGGATGACAGAGTGATTGCCCCTGATGATTGATTCTGGATGACTGCGTTATTGTCCCCCGATGACTGAAAGCGGGGTGGCGCGTGAAATTTTCCCCTTTATGACTGAAAGCTGGTTTCTGCGTGATTGTCCCCTGATGACTGATGCTGGATGACTGCGTGATTGTCCCCTGATGACTGATGCTGGATGACTGCGTGATTGTCCCCTGATACTGATTCTGGATGACGCCGGGGATTGTCCCCCCGAAAGACTGATGCTGGGTGACAAAAGTGATTTTTTTCCCCCGATGGGTTTATTCGGGGGTGACTGCGTGATTGTCCCCTGATACTGATGCTTTGGGTGAAATGCTGATTTCCCCTGAAAGACTGAAGCTGGATGACTGCGGATTGTCCCCTGATGATTATGCTGGGTGACTGCGTGATTGGGCCCCTGATTTACTGAGCCAAAAGACTGCGTGATTGTTCCCCCCATGACTGATGCCCAAATGACTGAGTGGGTTGTCCCTGATGACTGATGCGGAAAAGACTGCGTGATTTTCCCCTGAAAAGAAGATGCTGGGTGACTGCGGATTTTCCCCTGATTCCCGATGCCGAAAGACTGAGTGATTGTCCCCTGATGAAATGATCTGGATGACTGCGTGATTTTTCCCCCCGAAAAGACTGATCTGGGTGACTGCGTGATTGTCCCCCTGATGATTTATGCGGATTGGGGTGATTGTCCCCTTAACGGGGCTGAATGACTGAGTGATTTTTCCCCTGATGACTGATTTCTGGAAAGACTGGGGGATTGTCCCCCAAGACTGAATTTCCGGATGACTGCGGGTTTTTCCCCCGATGACTGATGCTGGAAAGGCCCGCGTGATTGTCCCCTGATACGATGCTGGAATTTTCGTTTATTTGGGCCCCTGATGACGATGCTGGGGTGACGAGTGATTGTCCCCCGAAGACTTGGGTGCGATGACTGCGTGTTTTTCCCCTGATGACGAAAGCTGGATGACCTTTTCCCCTTGGAAAAAATTTTC